GACGCCAACCAATGGACGCTGCTCGGCGTGCCGGGCGCGGGCGACTCGGCGCTGCTGTCGGCCGGCAGCACGGCGCTGTCGGGCACGCGCGAGGTCGGCGCGCTGCGCATCAACGGCGGCCGGCTCTACGGCGGTGACCTGACCGTCGGCTCGCTGACCTTCGAGTCCGGCCTGCTGGGCGGCTTCACGAGCTCGTACACCACGGGCTCGACCACCGTCACCGGCGCCGCGCTCTTCGACGGCACGCGCAGCCAGGCGGTGAACCTGAACCACACGCTGACGCTGCAGGGCGACAGCCGCTGGACGGCCGGCAGCGGCGGCATCGGCGGCTCGGTGTTCGGCGGCGTCATCGTCAACGACGCCACCTTCAAGCGACGAAGGCGCCGGCGGCACCAACGCCTACAAGACGCTACGCAGCGGCAGCGCGTCCGGCGGCGGCAGCTTCGTCAACAACGGCACCTATGTGCGCACCGGGCTGGGGCTCACCCGCGCGTATGGCTTCCAGAACGCCGGCACGCTGCAGGTGAACAGCGGCGTCATGGAGCTGCGCGACACCGGCACGTCCACGGGGCAGATCAACGTCGCCAGCGGCGCACAACTGTCGTTCTACGAGAGCAGCGCCGTCGTCAGCGGCGGCATCGCCAACCTCGGCCTGGTCACCTTCGACCGCGGCAACACCACGCTGACGAGCACGGCCCGGCTCGACGGCAACGTCAACATCCTCGGCGGCGTGGTCCACAACGGCAGCGTCAACACGCTGAACGTGCTGTCCATCCAGGGCGGCGGGCAGTTGTCCGGCATCGGCCACATCACCGTTGCCACGCTGGACTTCCAGTCCGGCACGCTCGGCGGCTCGGCCGCCATTTCCAGCTACCCGACCGGTGCCACCACCGTCACCGGCACCACCACCTTCGACGGCACGCGCAACCAGTCGGTCAACTGGAACCACACGCTGACGCTGCAGGGCGACAGCCGCTGGACGGCGGGCAGCGGCGGTATCGGCGGCTCGGTGTTCGGCGGCGTCATCGTCAACAACGCCACCTTCAACGATGAAGGCGCCGGCAGCGCCAACGCCTACAAGACGCTGCGCAGCGGCAGCGCC